TTCCCTGCCTCAGTTTCCTATCTGGAAATAGAGCAAATAACATACAACTACAAGTTAAGCACATACAGAAATATGTGCGAGTTCAGGGCTTTGGACTGCAAGCTCTTTGAAACAGGCTGTTTAACCAGTGCCCATCCTACACAGGGTAAGAGTGGCCAAAACGCAGGAGTAGCCCAATCTCTAATTGGACATAAGCTCAAGCAACAATGGATAGAAGAAAGACAGAGCACACAACTGAAGTGCAAGTAGTGTTTTTTCCCCTGCAAACAGCTATTCCCAACAGACTAACTGAACCACTGCAACTGGCTAATTCCTCAGAAATCATAGTAGAAGCAAATCACGAGTTAAGTTCTTTGTGTAAAAGATGTCAAAGAAGAAAACAGGAAAGTCATTACAGAAGTGGGTGGCGTTTCATATTAGGTAGGGTCCCGGGGGCCCTGACAAGATCTTCTAGCCTGTCCCCCTGCCACAGGCAGGAATGAATGCTGGGTTCACAAGACCCCAGACAGGTGATCATCTAAACTCTTTTTTAATTTACCCAAGGTAGGGGCGAGGACCACTTCCCTAGGAAGTTGGTTCCAGATTTTGGCCACCCTAACTAAAATATTGTCTCATCTCTAACCTAAACCTATTCTCCATCAGCTTCTTACCATTGTTCCTTGTCACCCCAGGTGGCGCTGGGGAGAAAAGGGCTCTGCCTATTTGCTGTTGATCCTCCCTGATGAGTTTGTAGGCAGCCACCAGGTCCCCCCTCAGCCTCCGCTTGCCGAGGCTGAAAAGGCTTCGTGCATGTGCTCATGTATAAAGAGGACCTCACATGGGGAACAGGTAAATGATAAACGCCAAGTAACGCAGCATTTCTGAGGCTACCTGGGAACTTCACTTGCTGCTATGCTACAGAAAGCAGCCCTTATATTGTTAACGTGATGTCCAAAAGCAAAAATACATACGACAAAGGTCGCCGCCACATGAGCTCAATGGAAAGCCTTCACTCCCTTTGTCATTTTCATTTTTAATGGCATTTTCTGATGTGCATCACAATACTGTATTAGCAGCACGAGAGCAACTCCAGCTCCAGCCAAGAGAGTAATAATGTACAGTCCCACCAGCAGGCTTGATACAACCTGACTTCTACCTGCTAACTGTGGCCTCTCTGTTGAAGTGAATGAGCAACAGGAAGGAGGGCCTTTGGGATTAGGAAAGTGAATTAGCTTTTGTCTTGCATCCCCACCTGTAATGGGGAATTTCAATATTTCTTCTCTTTGACACTTTGTAAGATCTTCAGAACTGGGACCATCTCCTCTGAATGTGTCTGTAGAGAGCTGAGCCTCCCCGAGAAAAAACACCTCTCTCTCCTTCCCAGGTGGCCACAGCTAGGGTCACCAGCAGCACTTAAGATGGATTCTCCTCTCTTTGCAAGATGGGCTGGCTGGCAGGGCTTCTCCTAAAAGGGACTCTGGTCTCCCTCACACTAACCCAATCTACAGTAGCTCAGATTTGATGCCTTCGCAGGCAGGCTGCAAAGATTCCCTGTTCAATGTCAGGACCCACAGAGACAACTCAGAGCAGGTCTTTGAGATGAAAGAAAAGGGGTAACTGGCTGGCCACAGTCATACATACCATACTATAATGCTCAGGGGATTCAAGTTCCTTGCACGTATTATATACTGAGCTCTGTTAAGACATGTTGGGTCCTGGAGAGACATCTTTATTATCTGAACAGATACAATAAAAAACTAGGGCTCCACTCTCAGTGAAAGGTGCCAGGCATTACTGTAATGCAAACAATAAAAAAAATGGACTTAAAACAATGCAAGCTACTCAGAGCCAGCAAGGAGCAAGGGAGTGCCTTAATAAAATTCAGTTTTGTTGTTTCTAATACTTAGATTAAATGAACTTAATGTTTCAGAAAGTTGCCAGAGGACACTGGAGACTGAAGTCCTCTACTTAGCAACAGAATAAGCAATGGTCCACTGCTGAACAGATTAAGGCCAGCAATCTACTTCCCAGGGACCAATGAACTACTGTCAGCTAGCAAGTACTGGGGGAAGGTTTGTAATGAAGTTCTTTTTATTTTAAAAAAGGACTTGTAATAACAACAGACCCATACGTATCCAATCACTTAAATGCTGTTAGTAAAAATGTTAACCATAAAATAAGACCAAGTCACAACATTCCTATGGGGATTTCTATTAAAAATACTTTACAAAGTTATCCAGAGAGGGGGAAAAATCTATTAAGAGAAATGCTTATAGGCCTTATATCAATCCGTCACCTTCAGAAAAGTCAGTCCCTTGTACAGAATGGATTAACACAAAAATAAAATTTAAAAGAGAGCCAAAGTCTCTTCCTGCTTGGAAGACAGCCCCGAATGTCTAAGAAAATGATTTTTATCAGAAATGCTAAGTTCTCACAACTTTTTCACCTCCTTGGTTGTCAGCATAGTGACACAGACCATGCACTTTCACAGCCTCCGTTTTCTAACTGCAGTTGATGGGGGGAGTTCTAGAAATGCCCAGCAAACAGTTTTTTGTTCCCACACTCAGTTAAGTGACGGTCTGTCAAGTTGCCTGAAGTCGACAGGCTCAACTGCGCCTTTGGATTCCTTCCCCACAGCTGCCACTAAAGTCAAAAGGAACAACACGCGAGGGCATGATTTGGCCTGCGGCATTTCATTTAACCGTAGTTCAGCAAAATGTCATCAGTGCATATGACTTCAGCAAAATGTCATCACTACATATGACTTTTGTAGTTGCACATGGTTGCACACCCAACCCCAAGTGACTGCTCTGAGTGTTGTCCTCAAGAGACACGTTAGATACCTGCTCCCTCCCTGCTTCCAAGCAGTCCTGGAAAGCTGTCCTGAATACCTGCCAGCCTGGGCACAGACTCATTTGCCTTGTTAACTATTGCAAGCAGAGTTAGAAAAAAAACACATTTGGCTTGTCTTTTAAAATGATTATGCAGAGAACAAGCAGGACTGTGCAGGGGACCGCAGTAAGGGTTAAAATTCCTCCCCCCACACACAAAGGGGAAAGAGGCTTCTATCGTAATACCCTGCGTAATACCTCTCTGGGTAACCTGTTCCAGTGCTTTCCTATCCGATGCTTCTTTCCCCTTTGTGTGGGTGGGTGGGTGGGTGGGGAGGAATTTTAACCCTTACTGCAGTCCCCTGCACAGTCCTGCTTGTTCTCTGCATAATCAGCACAGAAACTTTTAACTAGAAGCTACTTTTCGTGTCTCATTTCTCTTTCAAGAGAAAGGTTCTTATGTAATTAAGTGAAACACGACAACCTAAAAGTTACTGCAACTCCCTTCTGACAACGTTGAATTCCTGCATCTGGTCAACAACTGTCAACTCCCGTTAACCTTCACTCCCAAAGGCTCCTGCTGAGTCCTCAGCCCTTAATCCCCAGCCTAACACCAAGACAATTTAAACTACTTCTCCATCCCATCCCATCCCACCTGCCTGCCTGCACCTGTATTAGAAAAACCTCAGGATTCCTACACAGTTCAGCCAGCACATCGGTTGTCCTGCTCCATGACCCAAGCCTTTAAACTGTTCAGGGCCTGGCCTCGTCTCTAGCAAGAATGTGGATCTAGCAGGCCTCAAGCTTACACACGATACATGTGCTACACATGCACTTTTCCCCACCCTGGAGAAGTCAATATCTACTACAAGCTGCTGGGTCCAGAAATTCTGAATTATTACAGGAACTTTTATCACAAATATTCAGTGTCCAAACTCCACCCTTGCAGGGAAGGTCTCAAGGAAGATGCATGGTTTGGTCACTGGGAGAACCCACACAGCCTTCCCCCTTCCTGATGCTGCTACCCATACTGCTCTCTGGTTTCACTTATAAGAGCAATTACAGCACTGGGTGTTCAGGATGTGTCACTCATGCACACCCATTTCCTGTATGTGAAACCCAAAACCCCTATATCCAAGGCTGACTGCAGCTCTTGGGTCCACCCTAATCACCAGGGATCCAGGTTTTAAATTTGCTGCGGGGAAAACATGAATTTTCTCCTTTAAAAGAGAAAAACATGGGAAACTGGAGGTTTCCCTTTGCAGGCTGGCAGAAGTCCAAGGGGGAGCAAGGGATGCCACGTGCATGTGCATGCATGCAGCAGCCAGCATTTGGTGGAGAGGAGCTCCCGCAGCTCTCTCCAGGTAAGTCTACGGGGGCAGAGGGAGAACGGAGAGGCACAGATGAGGTGGTGGGTGCTGGGGGG